TTCATAACCTTCATTTTTTTTCTGGTGAGAAGGATCCAGAGAAGCTTCTCAGAACAGACCTCGTGTGTAGATCCCTCCAAGGGCTGATACACGTTGATGTGTACCTCTCAGTGGATTTGGCTGTTATTACTCAGTATTTTGTAATCTAGACTGAGTTCCTGAATTCTGATTGCTTACACCTTCTCTTTTCAACTATGTATGTATGTCAGGTACAAAAATGCCAGGTCTCATGATTTTAATTGGCACCTACGAAGGTGTATAGGTTTGTTGTCCATTGTGAAATTGATGTTTGATGTTTAATGATTCACATGTCATGGTTTGCCATTAGCGTGAGTGTAGTAGCACAGACTCCCTGTCACACTCCTTCACTTGAAGCAGCATTTAGAAGATCATTCATATCTATTGTTTTCTCAGGTCCGTAGTTTGGATGTTTGTCAACAGCGTTAGTGAAATATTGCAAGGGAGTTTTACTGTGTCTGACCTACTTTTTTTTTTCCCAGACACATGTAATTTATAAAAATGAAATGCAAGGTTGGGGTTTAGAGGTGATACAATATTTCTACTTTGTAAACATTAGACTAATTAATGCATTTAGTTCAACAGGTCCATAAATACCTGTTGTCCCTGTTCACAGTTATATGTATGCAGAATGGATTTTCTGCGACAGTTGGTATTGAGTTGTACTTAGAACAATAGTTTTACTGCTCGTTTATCCTACAAGACATTTTTCTGACTCACTTCTATATGCAGAGATTTTAAAGATCAAAACTCATGATGCAATGAGGTGATAATTTTTTCAAAAGCTTATGTAAGAGTTTTCAAACACACTGGACATTGCAAATGCACTGCTATTTAGGGGATAAATATTCCGTGGGATATGCTACAGGAAAGAATATTTGACATCCAAAGAGAGACATCAAAGCCTATTTTTATTACAGCTCTCCACAACAGGGGAGACATAGTGGCTCATTCTAATTTATGGCTGTTGTATTTTGGCACTATCTAAAAGAAGCTGATAATTATATTCCTACAAGGGCTGTTCTTCACACTGCAGGAGAAGAAAAAAAAAACAAAACACAACCACCAAAACCAATACAACCACAACCACCAAAACCAAAATATAGGTCAAACTTTTGCTTCGGTCAGTTGTTACTACCTGGCATTGTTTCTGCCATTCTTCAAAGGCTGTGCAATGACTTGGAAAGGCGACTGAAGAGTTCTACCTGTCCTGCAGGCTGCCTTGCAAGTAGACACATTATGATGAGGCATATTTGTTTTTCCATGAAGAAAACAGAAGTCTTTTATTTCTATAACTGTCACTTCAGTTTAGTATAAATAAAATACGAAGGACAGAAATAGTAATTAAAATTTGGAAAGGTTTGAAGGACACCAGTGTTTTGATTTTTTTTTTTTTTAATTATTATTACTATTTTCTTTATTATTTCAGATAATCCTGCCTGGTTATGCTAGTTCCTTGACAAAGCGTAATTTTTTTCCTTTATTCCGTAGAAACTTAATAGGATCTTACATATGTCAGCCTTAGATTAAAATGTGTAAAAGTAATGCTGTTCTACAAATCTGCAGAAAATCAATCTAATTTAATTTTTCCTACTGAAGATCTTGTGCCGAACGTCCCATTTTTCATATTTGCAAGTAGCAATCCCTGAATATAACTTTTTGAGCTAATTTGAGTGAGGATTTTTTTGCATCTCATGTCCAAGAGAGCATTTTAGAAGGACTTTGGAAAATGAAGTTTTTATTTTATTTTCTACGCAAGAGGAAGAGCACTTGAGCCTGGTTTTTTTATTAAATGTGTTGAAGTGTGCTGATTTAGAAGGTCAAAGTATGGCTTTTCTCCTCATTTCAGCATAAGCACAAAATATTTAGTGCTGCTTAAAATAGGATCCACATTAACACTAAGGATGAGACCTTAAAAAAAAAAAAAAAGCTTCTTGCTTTTCCCCCTTTTCATAGGAAAATTAGAAATCTTGTTTTTATGCATATCTTCGTGTAGTTCATACTCACTTAGCCAGTTGGGTTGCATGTTCTTCACACTGTCATTGCAAGGTAAGTACGACAAACAAAATGATTGTCATATTCTGCCATGAAAATGATCTCTAACTAAGCAGCTGTAACTAAGAAGGTGTTATTACATTATTACACATAAGCACTCTGTTGCAGCAGAGTTCAGCTCCTGGCAAAAGCAGTTCCTTTTATACTGATGCCAGCATTGGCTCCAGATGCAAATTAACATGGCAGTGACTTGAAATGTCCTATTTCTCCTTTATACACGTTACAGATTAGCTTCCCAAAGTGGTCAGTTCATGTATTTTTAAATAGAGAAGAACCTCCAGTTATTGAACTTCAGGAAAGAAAGCTCTGCCTTGCAACAGTTTTCCTACACTTCTCTGTTTAATAAACAATTCTTCATGCAGGAGATGAGTCTTCCTCACTTGCAGTTTTTCTCTAATTATTCAGTGTGAAAGTCACAGCAGCAAGGAGATTGCTATCTGCAAATAAGTTGTGGATCTTTGTAAGAAAAAAAGTGAACTGGCATCTGTGTTGTTTCATTCTCTTCTTTCATGCCTGATTTTGTTCAAGGGACTTTAATTGCTGCTGGTTTTCTGTATGTAAGATCACTGTATCTTTGTACTTTTTTCTGCCCCTTTTCTCCTTTGTCTTTCTATTTGTTAATATATCTTTTTTACATATTATTTGCTTCGATATATTAAATCTTTTTTAGGAAGTTCACTACTAAATAACCAAATTGTGACATTTATAGGAGCTTCTCTTTGACTTCTCTTAATATGCTGGGTTTGTTTCAACCCTAATTTTCTGCCTGACTGCATAGTGTGTTTCTGTAACACAGGTAGGGAAAAAAAAAAAAAAAGAGGCATACACCAAAGGGGAGATGGCATTGTCTTTATGTTATAGGTAAAACCAGTAGTTTAACAATCCCAAGACCAAGTGCTGAACTCACATTGCTATTGTTTGCTATCCACAGCAGACTGTAAAGCAAGATAGACTATAATTTAACAAACTAAGAGCAAAAGAAGTGCAGTGCCTTCTAATGGAAAAGTAGAGAGGAGAGGAAGAAAAGTAAGTGTCACAGTAAGCCAGTGAATTAGACTGAAATAATAGGAGGACTAGGTCTTAGTCTTCTGATATGTGAAGGATATAAAATAAAATGTCACTGTTGTGAGTTGCAGAATGCTCACCTCATCTTGAGTACAGGTTCCAGAGGTTTTCTGGAAGGGAAAGAAGTTAAAAATAACAGCAGTAAAGGTGGCAGTGATGTGGCCTGATATGTACATGAAAGGAATAACCATTTCAATTTTTTTTGCTTTTAAACCTAACCCGACGCAGGAATGAAAGCCAGGTACACACCACAGCCTGGCTGCCCAACTTGCTTTACAGTTGGTAATGCAGAGCGCTATTTTCCAGAAGGAAGGGTTGACCACTGGATTTGCCTGGTTTTATGGCAGTAGTAGCTGCTCACTGCACATTCATCTCGTGTCACGTGGTTTTCATATACAGGCTGTTGCACATTCAGAGGCCAGAACTGTGCAACAGCAGAGATCAAAATTCTGGAAGCAAAAGTGACTCTCTCCCCCCCTTCCCCCTCCCCTTTTGCCAAGAGTAATATCTTCCATGCCAGAGCTTATTTTGTGGGAGATGATAAAACATAGTCTAACATCTGGCAACGGCCCATTTTTTTCCCTTCCTGTCTGCCCTCCGCCCTTCAGTAAAATGAAGCATTGGCAGAAAACTGATGTGACTGAAATGTTGCTCTATAGAATACAAGCAACAGGTGTGAGAAAAATGCTACTAAGTCACTGGGAGCTGGGTCACCCTCGGGACAAAAGAAATAGTCTTGCTATTGAAAAGATGCATAATACGCTATAAAAAAAAAGGAACATTGTAATGTGGTGAATGTAATGCCGTGCACTTAATACTAATATGACATGAGGGTGACTGATGATTCCTTATTTCGCTGAGCATTTGATTTTGTTTTCTACTTTGCATGCTAGCTTTGCCCTTTCTGAAATTATACCCCATCTGAAACATACTTTAAACTACAAAGTATTGCAAAAGGAGAGGGAAATTAGTCATTTCTGGACTGATGGCTGTAACCATGTTTTCGTACCCAGTTATAATGCAGAATTGTTTGGTTTTCACCTTGTGTCTAAGTAGATAAGAACTTTCAAAATATGTTTCTGCAAAACTGACAGTTGAGTTTTTAAGGCAGCCTGGAGTGTTACTTTCTGGCAGCTAGTGAGGGCAGGTGATAATGGGCATCTAACTCCATTAAAACACCTTTGAGAGTTTCTGCTTTGTGGTTCCAAGTGTGTTTACAGAAGAAAACAAGACTCCTGTGTGGATGCATTTGCAGTTTCACATTCTTTCTGGACAGCAGAGAACAAAAAGTCATATCCATGAATGAAATAATACAGTGCACCTGCTCTGTAAATACGACTTCCTTGCAGAGCTATACTAATTACAGTACACTCTTGTTCTTCTCCCACTTTTCCTTCTGAACTGTTGGCTGCAAGCGATCCTGTATCTGCATGAGAAAGTCCAGTGCTACTGTGCCTGATTACTGAATCTTTTTTCCAAATTTTGAATTAAGAAATGCTGCCAAAATTTACATCATGTGTAACATGGGAGTAACTTCTTTTGAAATTATTGAAATTATCCCACATTTACTGTGACATAGTTTCAGTCTTTAAATAAATATTAGAGTTCAGGAACAGTATTGCTTCCTGATAAAATTTTAGTTAATGCAAAAATAGAAACTGCAGTTTGTGTACAATAGTCAAATATGAGCTGCCAATTATCTAGCAGTTGTCAAAATACCTGTACTTGTCCATTTACATTGCCTGTTTTCAAGTATTTGAAGCTTTATGCTTAAGAGAGAAACATATTTAAAATTTTCAGCTATGACTGAGCTCTCTGTAACTTGTATTTTTGATTGACTGTAGTCTCCCTTCTCTTTGCAGTAAAGGGTTGCCTTCGAGTTCAACATTCACTTTAGAAGACAGTGCCATCTATTTGACTTCAGAACAGAGCACACTGGAAATGGAAAATGATAATGCTTCAGTTTTGGATGTCTACTTAGTAAGTTGTCAAACTGTTTCTGATGGGATTTTTCCCCTGCAATTCCTTTGACTCAGGCTCAGTAAGTGACTAAAATACATGCTTAACTTCAAGATCCAGAGGTTCATTGAGGTATTTCTTATATGATACATATGCTTAAGTACCTCTCCAAAGCAAGTCCTTCAAGAATCTATGTGCCTATTAACTACTGTGCTAATAATGAAGTATGCCAAAATGGCGTTCAATTTTTTTCTAATGGTAGGAGTGTTTTTCCTATTATTTGTTTTCCATAGGAGAAAAAAAAAAGAAAAAAAAGAAAAGAAAAACGTTTCCTCTGCATGTTGAATATTCCACAATGTAGAAACTAAATTTTCTCAGAGAGGAAAGTTTTGTGTTTACATCAGTGATTTTGAAGCCAGTGAAGTAGAGCTCAGTATGAAGCGCATTAACGGCTCCCCTTTCTGTTCTAAAGGGTTTTCCAGTTGTGGTAGCTAGAATATGATGAAAAAGGTATCTTTTCTTTGCTGTTTTGGTTCCTAGTGAGCAGTTTATCTGACTGCTGAAAGATAAGCTCAAGTCTACATCTTTAGTTGTCTTCATATCACCTGTGTTTTAAAAATTCTTTTGGTATCTACAGCTCACATTCCACAGACATAAAGGCAGTAGGCACCCAACTCCAGTTCCAGTTGAGTGAAGTTTTATGCATCTAACCCTTTTAGGCTGTTTTGAAAATTTCAATATAAATATAGGAGGGAGGTATGTTAAGCTTGGCTTTTTTCCCAAAGATTTGTTTTCCCAAAGCACAAATTAAACAATTATGATATTATCCTAGTCATGTTTTCCCTCTATTTTCATAACTAAATGTCTGTGACTTTTGTGGCAAGAATTGTACTAGGGAAGAAGGGTCAAAAAGGGAAGTCTGTTCATTAGGTTTCTAACAAACTTTTCACACAGGCATTGTTGTTTCCCTTTTAGATAAAGTTCACTGTATTCTTTATTTTTCTTATCTCTAGAGTTTCCTGATTTTTGTCTTAAAAGATTCAGAATATCATAGAATCATAGAAGAGCCCAGGTTGGAAGGGACTTCAAGACATCATCTGGTCCAACCTTTCATGGGAAAGGAAGCCTAGATGAGATTATCTAGCACCCTGTCCCACTGCATCTTGAAAATCTCCAGCGATGGGTACTCTACCACATCCGTGCAGAGGTTGTTCCAGTGATTGATTGTTCGTCCCGAAAAAAATTTTCTTGTGTTGAGACAAAACGTTTGCCACATGTTTGTGTCTGATCCCCACGCTGTTTCTCTGTAGGCTGTAGCACTGGTGTTTTTTTCTTCTTTTTAGCCAGCAACACTTGAGTATATACAGTACCTACTTAATAGCTACTAATTTAATAGTCCAGCACACTTAGGGGAGTTCTTGTCTATCATGCCTCCACTGAAACAAGACAGCAGCAAGTACCAGTGGCCAATTAGATGCAGAATTGACTTAGTTAACTGTGACCTCAAGTAGCCCATTAAATCAGCCTATTCCTGTAGGACTTGTGTTAATTGGGCTTGTTGCTGATACAATGTTGACATGAATTGCCTGTTAAGAGGGACTCACAAATCCTGAAATGTTATGGGAAATGGACAAGTGAGTAATCACGTGCAGCCTAACCTTGCTAGCAGATTGGCTTAGTGAATTGTGCTTTAAACTAACGAACTTGGCGGGTAGGATCCACAGCTGTGACATCTACATATTCATAAGCAACAGGGTGGATGAGCACACCTACTAGAATAGTGGGGAATGCTCCCCAGCCCTTTACAAAGGCAAGAACCCTAAGCCCAACCACCTCAAGTGCATGTATACCAATGCAGGTAGTCTGGGCAGCAGAGAGGAGAACTGGAGCTCTTTTCCCAGTCTAGGAGTTACGATGTGATAGTAATCACAGGAACTTGGTGGGAAGCCTCACATGACTGGAAGACCACAATGGATGGCTACAAATTCTTTTGGACAGATAGGAGGGGAGGAAGAGGAGGTAGAGTTGCACTTCATTAAAAAAGAGAAATTTGAGTGTATGGAGGTAAGCTGTGGAGACCACAAAAGTTCTGTCAAATACCTTTGGATCAAGATTAAATGGTTCATCACCAAGGAGGATCTTATGTTAGGTATCGGTTACTGACCTTCCAACCGGGATGCTGAGGCTGATGAAACCTTACGCTGGCTGCTGAGGGAACTCTTGGGCCAACAGAACCTGGTCCTCATGGATGACTTCGATTACCCAGGCATTTGTTGGGAGAACAACACAGCGGTGCGCAAGTTGTCCATGAGAATCCTGGAATGCATCAGGACTGCTTCCTGCTACAGGTGCTGGACGTGCCAACTAGGAACAGTGCATTGCTAGATTTACTGCTCACAAACCAAAAAGATGTACTTGACAATATAACTACCAATGATAGCCTTGGATACAGCGATCACAATATTGTGGAGTTTAAAATCCTGCTGAGCACGCTGAAGACCAGCAGTAGAACAAAGGCCCTGGATTTTAGAAGAGCCAGTTTCAATGTGCTCAGAACCTAGATGCGAGGGATTCCGTGGGAAGAATGCATGAAGGGCAAAGGAGCTTGTGAGTGCTGGGAGTTTTTAAAGAACAGCCTCCTGGAAGCACAAGAACAGTCCGTTGCCTACAAAGGGAAAGGAAGAATGCAGAACAAGAGACTACCCAGGCTTAACAATGAGCTTTTGGATGTGCTTAGAAGTAAAAAAGCAGTGTACGAGCTATGGACAGGCAGCCACATACCCTTTGAGGACTACAAGAACCTTGCTAGGGCATGCAGAGATGCAGACAGGAAGGTTAAGGCTCCGCTAGAACTGAAACTGGCCAGAGACATCAAGAACATAGGCCCATTGCTAAACGGGTCGGGGAAACTAGTTAATAATAATGCTGACAAGGCAGAGGGTCTTAATACCTTCTTTGCCTCTGTCTTGACCAACATAGGTAGACCCCAGATCACAGCATCAAGTAGCTACCACAACACGTGTTGGCTCACCAGTAGCCAAAATCTATGTGCCCAGAGGGAAACCACCCCAGGGTGGTAAGAGAAGTGGCTGACGTTGTTGCAAGGCCACCGTCTATAGTATTTGAAAAATCATGGAAATCAGGGGATATCCCTGATGCCTGGAAGAGGGCAAACGTCATACCTATCTACAAGAAGGGCCCAAAAGAGGACACGGGAAACTACAGGTCTGTTAGTCTTAATTCACTCCCTGATAAAGTAATGGAACAAGTCCTCCTAGAAACTATTACAAACCAAATGAAGCAGGTGATTGGGAAAACCCAGCACAGATTTACCAAAGGCAAATCATGCCAGGCTAACCTGGTCATCTTCTACAACAAAGTAGCATCTTCTGTTGACATGGAGAGAGCAGTGGATGTTGCTTACCTGGACTTCAGCAAAGCATTTGACTCTGTTTCCCACAGCCTTCTCCTGGACAAACTGTCAAGATACAGCCTGGAGGGTGGCCTGCGAGATGGGTAGGAAATTGTCTCACAGGCCACACTTAGAGGGTGGTGATCAATGGTTTCTCCTCAGGCTGGCAGCCTGTCACAAGCGGTGTCCCCCTGGGATCAGTACTGGGACCCTCGCTGTTCAGCATCTTCATAAATGATCTGGACAATGGGACTGAAAGCACCCTCACCAAGCTTGCTGATGACATGAAATTGGGTGGTGAGGTGGATGCATCAGAAGGGAAAGCCATTTTTCAGAGAGACCTGGACAAGCTGGGAGAGTGGGCTAGCAAGAACTGCATGAAGGTCAACAAAGACAAGTACAAAGTCCTGCATCTGGGAGGCATAACCCAAGAGCCCAGCACAGGCTCAGATCTGTGTGGCTGGGGAGCAGCCTTGCTGAGAGGGACCTGGGGGTCCCAGTGGACACCAAGCTGAACAGAGTCAGCAGTGCGCCGCTGCAGCAGCCAAGGCAAATTGGATCCTGAGCTGCATCCTCAGGGACATTACTAGCAGAGACAGAGATGTGATTATCCCACTTTACTCAGTGCTTGTCAGGCTGCACGCAGGGTAGTTCTGGTCCCCACAATTCAAGAAAAGACGTGGATGGACTGGATGGGGTCCAAAGGAGGGCCACAAAGATGATCAAAGAGCTGGAGAACCTGCTGTATGAGGAAAGACTGAAGGAGTTAGGTCTTTTCAGCCTGTAGAAGAGAAGTTTCAGGAGGGACCTCATCACAGTTTTCCAGTACTTAAAGGGTGACTACAAAGAGGATGGAGGCTCTCTCTTCACAAGGGGCAGTGGGTACAAGTTGCACTGGGAGAGGTTTCATCTTTATATAAGAAAGAACTATTTTTACAGTGAGAACAATCAATTACTGGAACAACCTCCCCAGGGAGGTGGTAGAGTCCCTACCGCTGGAGGCTTTCAAGATGCGATGGGACAGGGTGCTAGATAATCTCATCTAGCCTCCCTTTCCCATGAAAGGTTGGACCAGATAATCTCTCGACATCCCTTCCAGCCTGGGCTGTTCTGTGGTTCTCTTTGCCCCACTTAACAAAGAAACAACTTCTTGTTGATAATTTTTTAATTTGGTTTATAATATAACAATCTTGTTTATCACTAACGCTACTCAGCACTGTGAAATGCTTTTTTTTAAAGCTTGAATAGGGTGGATGGTGGAATGCTCTGAAAATCTAGTGACAGACATAGGTAATACCTTCTGCAAAGCTGTCCGTACAAGTTTCAGGTGTGATAATGATCGCTTTAGTTAGTTTTCGGCTTGTAAAACATTCATTACTATTGTGCCTGGGAGACTGCAGTAAGTATATGTGTATTCCACTGGTCAGTATCAACAGAAAAATAAATAAAACCCAACTCTGGACATTATACAAACACCCAGTGTTTATTCCCCTGAGCAAAGGTTTGGAAGTATAAATACGTCTTAAGTGGAGAGAATCATATACACTTTTTTTGTCCTAGCAGCACCCTTTCTCTGCACTGTGAAACATCTAAACTTGAAATTCAATAA